CCTCCCGTGGCAGCGGGGTCCTAGTGGAAACTAAGGGATATTAAGGCCTCCTTTTAATAGAGAACCGGACCAAAGCATTAACACATAGTGAATACATGAACTCCTCAAACTACGGTCATCACCGAGAAGTATCCCGATTATAGTCATTTCGGGGGTGTAGGATCATAACACATAATAGGTGACTATAGACTTGCAAGATAGGATCAAGAACACACATATATTCATGAAAACATAATAGGTTCGGATCTGAAATCATGGCACTCGGGCCCTAGTGACAAGCATTAAGCATAGCAAAGTCATAGCAACATCAATCTCAGAACATAGTGGATAGTAGGGAACAAACCCTAACAAAACTAACTTGATTACATGGTAAATCTCATCCAACACATCACCGTCCAGCAAGCCTACGATGGAATTACTCACGCACGACGGTGAGCATCATGAAATTGGTGATGGAGGATGGTTGATGATGACGACGGCGACGAATCCCCCTCTCCGGAGCCCCGAACAAACTCCAGATCAGCCATCCCGAGAGAGATTAGGGCTTGGCGGCGGCTCCATGTCGTAAAACGCGATGAAACTTTCTCTCTAATTTTTTTCTCCCCGAGACAGAATATATGGAGTTGGAGTTGAGGTCGGTGGAGGTCCAGGGGGGCATGAGATAGGGGAGCGCGCCCTATAGGGGGGGGGCGCCCCCCTGTCTCATGGACAGGGTGTGGGCCCCCTGGTGTATTTCTTTCGCCCAGAAATTCTTATTAATTCCAAAAAGTGCCTCCGTGAATTTCCAGGACATTCCGAGAACTTCTCTTTTCTGCACATAAAACAACATCATGGTAGTTCTGCTGAAAACAGCGTCAGTCCGGGTTAGTTTCATTCAAATCATGCAAGTTAGAGTCCAAAACAAAGGCAAAAGTGTTTGGAAAAGTAGATACATTGGAGACGTATCACAGATGCTTGTATTAGGGGTTAATCATTGGGATGCTTGTCCAAGAAAGGGCAGTACACAAGCACCGGTCCACCCACATATCAAATTATCAAAGTAACGAACGCGAATCATATGAACGTGATGAAAACTAGGTTGACGATAATTCCCATGTGTCCTCGCGAGCGCTTTTCTCATTATAAGAATTTGTCCAAGCTTTTCCTTTGCTACAAGAAGGATTAATCCACCTTGCTGCACCTTATTTACTTTTATTGCTTGTTACCCGTTACAAATTATCTTATCACAAAACTATCTGTTACCTACAATTTCAGTGCTTGTAGAGAATACCTTACTGAAAACCGCTTGTCATTTCCTTCTGCTCCTCATGGGGTTCGACACTCTTACTTATCAAAAGGACTATGATAGATCCCCTACACTTGTGGGTCATCACCATTCTGGCCGCTCCCTCGTGATACGCCTCCGGGTCCGCGCGCGCGGCTTCTCCCGCGCAACCCTGCACGCACGCCCGTGCTCATCCCCGACAACCGATGGGCCGGCCGTGGGTGCCCTCGCCGTGGCACGTCGCCGCCCCGCGCCGGCTTCGCATCTTCCCGTGACGTCGCGCCGGCTACCGGGTCCGCCTCGCACTGGCTCTACCTCCGGGACGCGGGCTCGCCGCCCCGGCTGGCCGCTGCTGCTACGCCCGCGCGGCCCGGCCTTGGCTCCCCGCTCCATGCGCGCCGGCTCGCCGCACCCCGCCAGCTCCCCAGGCCTGCCGGGTCGCTGTGCCCGGCTCTGCCGCCGTCCTGGCCGCTGGTTCCCCTTCGCCAGCCTCGCCGCCCGCGCCGACTTTGGGTTGCCGCCCGTGCCCGGCCGTCTCCGGCCTCCCCCGCCTCTGGTTGTGCCCATGCCGGCTCCCGCTACTGCCTGCTGCTCCTGAAGAAAGAAGGGACCGTCTGCGTGCAAAAAAACAGAGATAAAAGAAGTCGGACCCGATTGTGCAAAAAAAAGAGATATGTCCGGCTGCTCCATCCGCGACCTACCCACGTCACTATCTGGCCGCCCAGTCCGCCTGTCGACTTCGACGCCTGGCCGGCTGGGGGCCCGACCCGTTCGCTCGTCTGCCTCGACGCCGGATGCGCCAAGCCGGACCAGCCGTTAGTCCGCCTCGACGCCCGTTCGGTCGGACCCGACCGGCTGGGACCCCCATTCAAGCACCCGGAGGCTCGAAGGCTACACCCAGTGGGTGTGTCAGCGAGCTAGCACCAAGCCGCGCCGGCTGTCGTCGACAACATCCACCTCGTCTGCGTCAAATCAATGTGAGCTCCTCACCCGCGTACATTTTACACCACGCAAACCGGATAACCCCGAGCGACACTCGGGACCACCTCCGCCTTTATTACAGTTGCACTACTGTTCGCCTCGACACCAGCTAGTCTCGGCCCGAAGGCTGGCCGCTCGGCCCGATACGTTCGTTCCCGCAGACGGCTAGTAGCGCACGGTACCAAAGGCCCACCTCTCAGCCACAGACCGCCACGCGGCTATCCGGCTAAGCGAGAGCAAAAGCTTGAGGTCACCCCACACGAAAAACGTCCGGGAGAAGACGACTTGGGCAAACCCGGTCGTTCCTTTATGAGTATCTAGTCGGTCGAATTTGCTCCTATAGTCCGAGTACTATACGCTCCACTCCGCGGCCACTCTTCGTAACAGCTACAGATCGGCTCCGGACTGTCTAGCTAACAAGAGGCAAAGCCAAAGAGCGGAGGGGATATGAAAAAGACTGAAGGGGGCTCAGACGAAACTGAGTCGGCACCCTCCGCATAAAACTTACAATGCTGAAAGCAAACATTTGATATATCTGCACGGACTAACTTTGTCTTTTGCATGATCATCGTTGTGGGGAACCCCCTCCTCGCTCGGAGACTCGGAGGCTACACGCGGGTTGCAGGCTCGACGCCGGCCGCAACAGGTGTTTCCATCGCCGCTGTCCACATCATCAACAAAAAGACCCTCCGGCCGACTCTTCGAGTCGCCCGGAGGCTACACCCAGTGGGTGCGCTCGCGCGCCCCCACTCAGCCGGCGGACTCCGCGTCCGCGTCCGGCAGGGCCCCGCACCCTCTAGTCGGCGGACTCAGCGTCCGTGCCCGGCACCCTCGACGTCACCGTCGGCTTCATCATCAACAGGAAGACCCTCCGGCCGACTCTTCGAGTCGCCCGGAGGCTCGGAGGCTACACCCAGTGGGTGCGCTCGCACGCCCCCACTCAGTCAGCGGACTCCACGTCCATGTCCGGCAGGGCCCCACGCCCTCCCGCCGGCGGACTCCGCGTCTGCGCCCGGCACCCTCGATGTCACCGTCGGCTTCATCAGCAACAACGAAGACCCTCCGCCCAACTTTTCCAAGTTGCCCGGAGGCTACGCCTAGTGGGTGCGCTCGCGCGCCCCCACTCAGCCGGCGGACTCCGCGTCCACGCCCGGCACCCTCGACGTCACCGTCGGCTTCTTCAACAACGGCAAGACCCTCCGCGCGACTTTGCCAAGTTGCCCGGAGGCTCGGAGGCTACACCCAGTGGGTGCGCTCGCGCACCCCACCGGAAGCAAGACGCGCCGGGTGCGGTCCGCGGCCGGCCGTCATCAACATCTACTGCTTCATCGATGCCTGCTAGAACCCTCCGCTCAACTTTTCCAAGTTGCCCGGAGGCTCGGAGGTTACTGACGGGGGGATGACCCCCGGGTAGGCCCAAGACGGCGAACGACGCTTCAAAAACATCGGGGCCAACAACGCCCCTCAATTTGGCTTGCACTTGGCTGGATTGCTCAACTCGGCCGAACTCCTTAACCCAGCCGCTCGTCCGGGTCCCTGTCCGGCTGCTCCAGCCGGCCTGCTACGCAAAGTCAACCGCGACATCACACCCGACGCGACACTGACAAGACGACCATACCGCGACCACTGTTGCTAATAAAGCATACACTATTCACTCGTCATACGCGACATCATGTACAATGCTACTTGTCCCTGGACACTATTGTATAAAGTAACCCAGGGAAGGCACTTTCTTGGAGAAGAGGTCACTTCCTTGATCAAGAAGGCACATACTTGACCAAGGAAGCAAGCCACACTATATATATCCATCCATCCATCCACACACGTATGCACTCATGCCACACTCATTCGGCCACAAGCTAGCCACTAGTGCATTTGGCACTCATATCACACGCATGCATAACTAAGGCCAGATGCCCATAGTTGCGTTCCGTAATACAGCTCCAAGAGCAACTCTGTACTGCCAGACATGTACACTGCATATATATTCAGACATGTAGGAGTAGGGGTATTATCTCTCCGGAGAGCTCCGAACCTGAGTAAACCACCGTGTGCTGTTTGCCCAATCCCGTCCCCGGATCTCCAAAGCAGTCTTGCTCTCACCTCAAGCCACCTCGTGGCATCTGTCGTCTCACAAACCCGCCGCGAGATAACCCCGACATCCACTGTTCAAAATAGCAGCCTTGTTTACCTGTGGGAGGATTGGAGTTGGAGATCATACAAGTTGCACGATTTGTATTATGAAGTGAATGCCATATTCCTCGCGTTTTATACTGTAATTTGTGCACGGATTTGTATTGTGAAGTCACGAAGTGCTCCCTCTATAAAGAAATATAAGATACTTTAGATTATATTTCTTTACAGACGGAGTATATTTTTGCCAGCATCCCCGCGTTCTTTGGCTCTTTCCTGTGCTTCCTCTGCAGTACACAGTTTCCATTGCTCTAGATTTTTTTCCAAAAAAAAGATTGTTTTTTTTTCAGTGGAAGATCATGCGCTCTACATTTTTTTAGGAGACGGTCTAGATTTGCTTCCTGATATCGTAAAGTTCGTCAGAGGCGAGGGGGCCCAGCACAGCCCAGCCCAGTGCGGCGTATATCAAACACGGGCTTGGTGGCCCAATATATCCTTCGTCTAGCCGTTCCCCGCTCCCTCCCTCCCCGTTCCGTTCCCCCCAGCGGCGGAAACGCCCGTCGTTCCTTGTCAGAGAACCCCACGCCTCCGCAACCCCTAGTGCTAGTGCGGGCGTGGGTCCATGGAGATCGCGGCGGAGCCCGTGCGGCTCACGGAGGAGCAGCGCCGCCGCATCGAGGCCAGCCGCCTCGCCGCCCTCGAGAGGCTCAAGCGCTCCGCCGCCGCCGCCGGCACCACCGCCGAGTCGTTCAGGCTCGCCAAGTGCCCAAGAATCGCCCATCCTCTGCCCCCGCGTCCGCCGCCGCAGCCGCTTCCGCCGCCTGCGCCCCCGACGGGGTTCCGGGCGGTGCTGGAGGTGTGCAGCCCCGACGAGTTCCAGGTGACGGTGGGCCGAACGGAGGGCAAGGCTTTCCCCGGGGAGGCCGACTGCCTCCGCGCCGTCGAGGACTGCGTCGCTTCGGTACGATCCTCGCGTTCTTGAACTCTTGTCTAGTGCACGCATCTTTTGCCGATCCGGGCTCCGATTAGGGATCTGGTTCTTTCTTGGTGATGCGCGAGTAATCCCGTGCTTTCTTGACTATACCAAGAGTTTCTTCAAAGTATCTTGTTTCGTATTTCTTGGCAAAGCATTGGTGCTTGCGAGTGTTTTCTTGATCATTCTTTGTTCTTTGATTCGACATGCCTGAACCGCTCCAAGAATGCGGTGGTTATTTGCCCATTCCGCGTGTATGACAAATGGCCGTTCTTTAATTTGGATTCTTGGCCAGTTGCTCGTTTTAGAGCATTTTCTTGCTAAATGGATACTGTATTTCATATGGATTTTTGTCAGAAGGTTTGGTTCACTCATAGCCTGGTGATCTAATCCCCTGTGCCATCGCCAAATCAACCCATTCATACCTTCACATGGATAATCGCCTCAACGATCTTGCTCCAAACATACTCTAGCCAATCTTCTGTCTGTCAATGGCTCTATGCAATAGAATGCTAGACACAAACATTGGAGGTCGAACCCTCACAATGCCCTGCCTTTTGGCTTAACTGCCGAGCGATGAAGAATTTGCTTGGCCTTCCAGATATCAGCTTTATGGGCAATTGCTGGTACCTACGAATGCCGCAACTAATATTTGAGTATATAAAGTGCCAGCAACTAATATTTCGTCCATATTTCAGTGTCACCTTTTTAATCAGTAAATGATTGTGCCACTAAGTTATCTTCACAGTATTCGCTGTTCTATAAAACATACCTTTTGCACAAGAATATATAGTCAAACTATTGATAACATCTTTGCAATTTTTTTTTGAACCGGGCAAGAACATCTTTGCAAAATGTTTAGATTAGATACTTGAAAATCCTATGTGTGAATCTGTTTCAGAAAGTACTTCTGCAATATTCATTTTTAAATTTTATAGATATATTGCAATAGAAGTTAACGATCCAAGATGTATTTTGAAGACCGCGAAGATGTCTGAAATGGCAGCTTTTATAGGACTGAAGGGAGTAAATGGTGATTATATCACATTTTAGAGTAATCCTTTTGGGGATCGAATAATTTGTGGATGCTTTTAAGCATAAAATGTAAACTTCTGCTGTAATAATTATTTTCATCTGGTTCTTACTTCTTAGTCCCTTTTCTGGATGATAAGCCTTTTGGTCTAAACTGATATCTTCCCTCTTATTGTTGGTAGGCTGTACCATTCTCCACAACACAAAGTCAAGGCGGGCATATTTCTTCTGTCTTTAAGCTTGTGCACTATGAGCTGGTGTTGCAATTCTTGAGGAAGTTGACTGGCGTTGTTGTGCAAGATATACCTTATAGAACAAGGCGTGCTGTTCAAAATGCTGGCACAAACTGCGGTTCTGATAAAGAAGTTGACGAGCTTCTCATGAAGCTGCCACGTCGATTACGAGATGCACTTCTACCCTTCCAACTTGAAGGTGTGAAATTTGGGCTTCGGAGGCAAGGGCGCTGCCTTATTGCAGATGAGATGGGGCTTGGCAAGACTCTCCAGGTAAGCACATTGTATTTTGTGTATAACTATCGTGCGGATAGTTTATATGCATAAAATTGTTTGTTCCACGGTGTTACAACTTGCAAAATACAGTAAATTGGCATATGGATATTGAGCACACTGATATTGAGCTTGCATCAATACATTTTGGGCAGTAACGGATTGGAATTTTATGTCTGTTTTACTGAACAGTTAATTATATAGCACTTGCCTTTTAGACCTTATGAAGAAATCATCATATCTGCTTTTGAGCGTAATTTCCCCCCCATGTTGAAGCAGTATTATTTTCTTGAACAGAATGGGGAAGTAGTATGTTCTCATTTATTTATATGCAGGCAATTGCAATAGCTTGTTGCTTCAAGGACGAGGGCCCTCTATTAATAGTGTGTCCAGCTGTTCTGCGTTATACTTGGGCGGAGGAATTGGAACGCTGGGATCCTTCATTTCTTCCAAAAGATATTCATCTTGGTACTGATTCAGAGTTTCATTATTCAAGAGTTAATTTTACTGATGTCAAACCTGGTATTATAATTATTGCATATCTTTAGTGTATCTAATTTGATCCTGAATGCTTGTGAAGTTACAACGATCTCCATATTTATTTCATCAAATTTGAATTGCCTACCACATGTGCCATGTGGTAACAATCTCCATATATGAATTGCATATTTTGTATTTTATTCATACATATTCTAAGTATCGAATTCTTTTGGCCCAGATATCATTCATTTGTTGCATCAGCGTCAGTTTGAAAATATTGCAGTAAAAACAGTTGCAGGACAAAATTGCATTCTGTATGAACAATCATAGATGGACCAGATCACTCTATACCTAGTTTCAATGGATCATTAGTCCAATATTGCTTTTCATAAGTTGACTTATCCTTGGATCTTAGTATCTTACTGAACATAGAACCATAGATTAGCTTGTGTTGTGATGATGTTCTAAGTTCCAACAAAGGTTCATTTGTTCTAATTAAATGTGGCACTGAATGCAGAAAACAAATTATCAAATCAAAACCACATTGCCTTACCTAGTTGTGGCGAACTATGGCAAGCCACTCCTTTCCGGGTCACACCTTAAGCAAGTTCAGGAAAGAGTCTATGCCAGGTTGGTTCATGTCAGGACAATGTGCCAAAGAACTAAACACCTACCGTAGAGTTTCAAACTTGCCTAACTAAAGTTTGGTTAACTATGGCAGTGAACCAAACATGCCTTAACTCATTGCTAGGTCTGTGGCTACTGTTAAGCTTCATGCACTAGCCAACACAACCAAAAGTCTCAACTGATGGAAATGGCTAGGCAATCCACATGTACACTTCAACACCCCCTCTCACGTGTGATGCGGAAGGTCAAGACGTGGATAGACTCAGAGGTATGGCTCAAGAGGCTCATACGTGGACACAAAGGGGGAAACAACAATTTTTGGATAAATTACGTAAGCCAGGACTTGAACTCAAGACCTTGGACCCTGATACCATGATAAGCTTCATGCACTAGCCAACGCAACCAAAAGTCCGAACTGATGGAAAGGGCTAGGCAATCCACATATACACTTTAACAGCCACTACTTGCTTGCCACACCTTAGTTTGGCAATTGTGGTGCCGGTGTTTGGCTATTTGCGAAACTTCTGGCTCATGGCTCACCACACATTTTCAGTCCTATGTCCTGCATGTCGTTGACACATGTTTTTGGGCCAAACTTTACAACACTTTTGGGTAAGAATTTGCTTGCCACAAAAGTGACATGCCATACTTTTGGCGACATGTGGCTAGCAACTGAAGTTTTTTGGACTGAAACGCTAGCAACCAAATAGGCTCATGTTCAAGTTTACCATGTTGGTCTGCTACCTAGCCAAGTTATGGGTGGTACTTGTATGTTCCCATAAAAATGAAAATCCTAAAGTAGTAGTATTTGTCAACTGGCTGGGTGGTTTCAAATCAGGCTCTCAGTTGACTTCACAATGGTCGCCTTTCATTTTTTGGTCAAGTAATATTTTTGTGTAACCAGTAGGATGCATATGCGTTTCTACAGGACATGTAGTCATTGATAAAAAGGTTGTTCTATTTAGCAAACACGCACGTGGTTTCCAACCACGTCGCGACAAAACTGTTGTCTTTCTCCATCTTCCTGTCCCTCTGCAACCACTATGCACTCCTCTGGTTCCCTTCCTCGCAGCATTTCTCCTCTGCACTCCTGCCCTGCAAAAGATAATGCGTCATCTTCATCGCTGTCCACCCGCCCCTTGGCTCTCCCTCCAGTAGGGTTGGAGGCAATGAGCTGAGCCAGCCTTGGCTTTCCTCATTCAAGATTGTTCGAAAATATGCTTGATACCGCTCGACCTGGTTGGAGAAATGGAGAGACGGGCTAAAAGAGAGGCTTGGGTTGGACCGCTTCTCGTAAGCACTCGCAAGCCAAGGCAGAAGACCAATAGCCAACATTGCTTCTACATAGTTCAGAAACTACATACACCTTGAGTCCTTGACATCAACTGGAGTATTCACTGCAAATATTGTGAAATCACTGAAAGTACATACACTACGCACAGTTTGTTTCGTTGTACAAAGTAATGAGGTCTCAGAATGTGCAATGTAAGCAATATGGTCAACGGTGAAGTAAACGAACTAGTTAAATGATTATATGAAGTAGGTCCATCCATCAACATGCAAGTGGGTCCATGCACAGATGATAAGCTTCACGACCTAGGTCCATAGACGGGTTAATAAGCTGCACTAAGTTGGTCGATATATCAACTATCAACTGGTGGAGCGAAACAAACCAACATGACAAGCATAGGTTGGGGAGCCAAACAAGCCAACACGAGGAGCATAAGTAGGGGAGGACTCTAGAGGATCGGCGGTGGCGTGCTAGGGCATTAGAAGGAAGCATGATGGTTGTGCGGACAGAGCGGAAGTTCCGGGGTATCATGGAGTATGTGGGCTTCACCCGTCGGCATTATTTTTTTTTGAGGGCACTGCCATTGTGAGTACGGAGGGCAGTGTGTTGGCAGTACCACCAACCTCATCTTTTTGATATAACTAGATGATGCTCCGCGCTTTGCCGCGAGAACCGTGTTAAAACAAATGCATGAATAAGTGTTTAGAAACAGCTAAACTAATGGAAAAATAAATGTAAAATGTTCTCGGTTTACATTTTTAAAACAATAAAACTTACCAAGTATGTGGCAAAATGATTTTAAAAAGCGAAGAACATTTAAACTGAACCTAATGTGACGCCATCTTTAACAAAAATGTGAAGCATGAACTATATATGTTTGCTCCAAGCATCCAACACATAGACCGTTCATGACCATACAGAACTTAATGTACAGTAAAAATATTAACTTGTGACTAACATGCATGATTTGATTCCCCCAAGAAAAAAAGGCATGCATGGCTTGATGAGGTGGCATGCTTTGCATGGATATATGGATATATTTGCAAAATTGTAACTTATGAGTACATGCATGATGATTTGAGGATGTCACACAATTTAGTAGATCAAATGGCTACCAATGATTGAGGTGATATGGAGGCACGCATGTGGAGAGTAATCTACTAGTGGGGGCTAGCTATTTAGATATGTAGAAGATATGTAAAGATTTATGTTGGTGAAAATCATTAATCCTATTCCTTGTCCCTCGTATACCTGTATCTTCAATTTTGGACACTGCTCTATTGCCTTGGCTTTCAGCTTTTCAGTGTTTATTTTGTATAAAGAATACCAAATTTGACTGTTATAATTATATATGTATTTTTCTCGTTCTTTTTTTTTCAGTGTTCGGTCGACGAGACAGTCTGGAATATTTAGATTTTTGTCCGAAGGTCGTTGTTATTTCATACACGATGTTAAGCATCCTTCGGAAAAGTATGATTAATAGGAGATGGGCACTGATGATCATTGATGAATCCCACAATATACGCTGCACAAAGATGAAAGAAGAAAATACTCAGGTGATACTATCAGGCAACAATTGAATATATCAATCCCAATCCAGGAGGGAGAGTGTATTTGACACAGCATATTTTATTATTCTGTAGTAATCATAACATTCCATTGTGCTTTGATGGTTACTCTCTTTGATGAAAAAAGTGTTTTTAAACCTGCTTCGTGTTTTCATCATTCCATTGTGCTTTCTTAATTTAAAATACTGTAAGAATGCAGAACCACTGAAACTCTGTTGAGCAATCTTTTTCTTATCACTTCAGCCACCTTATTTCAATTTAAGGCGCCTTCTCTGATAATTTTATTTATAATTTGTAGTCTTACTAGTCTGATGCATCAACATTCCGCTTGCTTTACCAATGATCACTTCTACTCTCTTGTGACCGTGACAGACAAAAGCTGTACTGGAAATAGCTCTCAATATCAACCGCATTGTGTTGCTTTCTGGGACACCCTCTTTGTCAAGGTTGTACTAACTTTTAAAATATATCCATTGATTCTTCTCAGGGATCCTTGTGTTGTTGCGCTATTTTTGTTGTGGACATTTAAAACTATAAACAGGCAAATGGATTTATGGTATATGAAATATTTTATGTATGCCATTAGACGATTTCAAATGTTGGGATTAGAATCAATCTCAAAGCACTTCCATTTTAGTTAAGAATTAGAAAATAATTGAAGTTTTTTAACTGCCATTTTTTCCCACTGTTTTGACTTTAGAAAATATTACTAAAAGGTCTTTGCCAGTTTTCTCCTTCTGTTTTGAACATCAAATTAAGACCAGTGATCCATGAGAAACATGTCAGTTGCATACGTCTCTTCAGTATATGGTTACCTGTTCATTTTTTTTAATAGGGACCTAAAGGTGTATACTGATTTGCTGAATTATTTGTACTGCATATTGGTTCCACGTCCCTTACCAATTATTGTTACATCTGTATCTTCTATTTTCTTTGCGTAAGCTGAGCTCAATGTCTGTATTGTGGGAGTACTTTTTACCCTGCGCACGGTATATCTGACTGATTGGTACTGATGTGTGATTTTGTTGTGATACAATTGCATTCCAGAAAATTAGTTAAATCATTTACTACTCTGGACTTGACTTACCATATATGTTTGTTTGTCAGATTTAACTAATGGTTTCTTTTTTTCCAAGGTGACAATAGACCTTTTGACATCTATCACCAGATAAATATGTTATGGTAAGAAAAGCAGAATGTCATCTTATTGTGTTGGGCATATCGATCTTTTCTGACCACTCCCTCTCTTGGTTTCAGTCCCCGTTTGCTTGGAGATGATAAATTTGAATTTGCAAAGACATATTGTTCACTGCATGTTGCTCAAAGTTCCCAGGGTAAAATTTACCAGGTATCTATATCTTGTGATTGTCCCTATTGTCAAGGAGATTGGTAGATCGCTTCAAAACCTTGCAGACTTGCACTTGCAGTTAATTTGAGCAAATAGTGTCTGACTATCTGTTAGTCTATACAGAAATGTTTAAATATTTAAGTTCTTCACATCGTTTCACGTCCAGGACTTTTCAAAAGGTGCTCGTTTGACAGAGTTAAATGTTCTGCTCAGTCAGACTCTGATGGTCAGCTCTTTCTCTCTCAGCTATTAAAGCCTCTTTGTATAGCTTTCTGTGATTATTGTATCCATGGTACTGTATCTTGTTACTGCTATCCAAACTGCTCATGAACTTATATGGTCACTGCATATTTGGCCTAAGTTCTGCTTGATGATATTTGTTAATTGATTTTGATCAGCTTGGCAGTATATACAGTTTTTGTATGTATGAACTTTGTTCATTTGATTATGTATAGAGTCTGCATGGCAGTATGTTATGGAATGCTGTACTCTATGCATGATGAAATTATTTATGTTGTACTCCATCCGTAAAGAAATATAAGAGTGTTTAGATCACTAAAGTAGTGAATTAAACGCTCTTATATTTCTTTACAGAGGGAGTAGAAACTATCCTTTACATGGTTGATGATGTTTTTACCAATGAACGCGTGTTTACTACAGAAGCATGTTTAAGAATGAGACTAGCTTCAGTGCGTAATGCTCCATACATTCTCTTATAGATATTGTTTAGAATGCATGTGATGGAACTTCAACAACTGTGTCCACAAAGTATATTGATGTGTCACATGAAAATTATATTGCTAGATTTCTCACTTGAAGTGCTTCTATATGATCCCATTTCTTAAATATTGTACCATATGATTAGAAAATTAATGGTACAATGTGGGTATTGGAGGGAGATCATGTTGATGTCTGAAATGACAAGCAGAGGAGAATGAGGGTAGTAAGTTGCTAGCTATTTGCTAATACTAGAGCCCGGCGGGTCGTTTTGCTTCCTGTCACAAGCCATGTAACTGCAATGATGTGTTAGGCTGATATTTGATGGTTTATCAATTTCAGATCTAATGGCTGGAGTTTGCTTCTGTGCTACAGATTAGGCGCTTGAAGGAGCATTTGTTAAATGAACTGCCGCCCAAGCGCCGGCAGATCATTAGGTTGAAGTTGAAGGCATTGAATAGCAGGACAGCCACCTCTATTATCCAAGGGGATTACAATAGCACATATAGTAGCTCTGATGCTCCTATAATTGCCTCTTCTGAGATAAGCAATGACTGTGAAGAAGCAAAAGAGGGAAAAGGTAACATTCATGCTGCTAATAGTAGCAGATGTCAATCGCATATGTTAATCTTACCACATGATTACCTTCTATCAATTTGCCATGAACTGGTGTGATGTCGAATAGATAGTTATATTGGCCTAAAGCAAGATGACTGGCTGTAGATACTAAAACTAACCGGTCATTTTGTTGAAGCATGTTTGTTGCATTAGTCATTGCTTTGCATATGCAATACCAAATGTGCCTGGCCTCCAGCTGTGCAGATTATGATGCTGTCATTGACTATCTGAAATGTATTTACAAAATCTAGATCAATGGGGGAACCCTTTGCTAATGTTATACTGACGGTAACAAAAAAGTATCAACACTGTCAATACAAACATTCCCAACATTTTCTTGATTTGAACTATAAGCTTTGACGTTAGCATTGTTTGTACTCCATGTATATCAAAAAGTTGATGGAATCATGGAATTACAACTGTCTATTTTATACTACCAATGAATTTCCACTGGAAGATTCCAATTCTACCTTATTCTAATGTATTGAATATAAATTGTCACCTTCAAAATTCCAAACATTTATCTATATGAACATAACCTAGCATTTTTGGATCTGATCTATTCTGTTCCTCAACTCGTAAATAATTCTTACTATGACATGGTGAAATGTATCAAAACTGTTACTGAGAGATGATCAGATGAAGCAAATGTTTTTCGTCATTTTAGTATTTAAGATGATGGTTCTAAGCTATGTGTTACTTTCCTTTTTTTTCCATTTCCTCAGATGATAGTTGCAAGAAATCTCCAAGGCATTTCTCCCCCCAGGAAATTGGCATTGCAAAAATACCTGGGTTTAGTCAGTGGTTCTCAAATCATTTGATGCATGATAATCTGGACGCCCAGTCTAGTTGCCAGAAAACGCTAATTTTCGCCCACCACTTGAAGGTTCTAGATGGAGTGCAGGTAAGATTTACGTTTACAAACTATGATGGGTTTTTTATATGTAATTTGAATACTTAAGTGGTGCTTCAACCAATTTTGTTCTTTATGTATTAAATAAGGAATAAGAATCTCAATAAGATTCAATACTCAAAAGTCGGCACTGTACAAGTAATTGAAAGAAATTGAGTGACATTTGTTCCTGAAAATTGTGGCTTACTGGACCCACATAGTCACATCAAAAGTTAGAGAGACGATAATATCTTGTCCAGCATATTTTGGTAAGGGTCTGAGGACCAGTGGTAGAGCACTTCCTAACGTTTCTTTCGGTGGCCGCTGCTAAACTCAAGTGTCTAATTATATGACTAATAGAAGAAAAAATATTTCTACTTTTGACTCAAGTGTTCTCTATCCAGGTGTTCCTCTCTGAGAAGGAGATCAAGTTTGTTCGCATCGATGGCAGCGCACTTCCTAGAGAAAGGAAAGAAGCCGTTGATTCTTTCCGTTTGAATCCAGAGGTTTTCATTTCCCCTTGTTTTAATTCATCACTCACCTACTGTTAGAGTATGAGTAATTTTGTGAAAATAGTACAATTTCCATAAATTTGTTTGTGCAAGTTTAAATGTTTTGACAAAAGAATGTCAGCTATAGGTATGTGCCGGCTCTCTATCCATGAAAAATTTCAAGAACAAACTGAATCATTTTTCTAGATACCAAATTTAAAACTATGACATGCAACAGTCTGAATTAAACAGTTAATCTGCCATTTTTGTATCTCGCAAGCAGGACTGAGTCTGTTCTTAAAAAATTGTATATAGAGCATGCCCATACCTACGCCTGAGAAGTTTTACTTCTATATGTGATTTCTACAGAATTTGGAAAACAAATCACGGCAGGGAAAAAATCCCTTGTACCTAGTCCATATGACGCTACGCTTCTTATCTTGCATACTGCTTATCCATCATTGAGTTATTTTACTTTTTGCTAAATAGGTCAAGGTTGCAATAATAGGAATTACTGCTGGTGGTGTTGGTTTAGACTTTTCATCTGCTCAGAATGTTGTTTTCCTGGAGCTCCCAAGATCGTCTTCAGACTTACTTCAGGTACTTGTTTTTTCCAACCTTGCACATACATTTTCATTTCAACCCATAGGAAGTGCAAAATTAAACCAGGAGGAATTTTTTGATATCTTGGTAGTTTTGAAGTATACAATGTTAAACCAATCCAGCTGTTCTTGTGAACCTACCCGTGTAGTGAAGTGTTCCGACAGAGTCCTTGAATTTATGCCCATATGTGTCCACTTCACAGTTTATGTGCAGTCTTGCACACATGTATGGCTCACCCTCTTTTACTGTTGTTTCAAATTTATGTCCACAAGTGTAATGAAGTGTCACCGCAAAGTCTCTGAATTTATGCCCATGTGTGTTCACTTCACACTTTATGTGCAGTCTTGAACACATGTACAGTTCACTCTCTTCTACTGTTGTTTTAAATGTTGTTGTAACTACTAACTGCTACATTTAATTGGTGATAACATCATAATAGGCCGAGGATAGAGCTCATAGGCGTGGTCAAACAAATGCGGTCAATATATATATATTCTGCGCAAAGGTTAGCTCCTTTCCTGTTTCCCTGTAGTGTATTTAGTAATTTTGGTAATTAGAGCATTAAATTATTTTGTTCCTGCAGAACACATCAGATGAACCACAGTGGCTTCGCTTGAACCAGAGTCTGTTCCGTGTCTCGTCTGTGGTGAATGGGAAGAAAGATGCTATAAGAGAAATTGAGGTAAGTCCATAAGTGATTGGGTTTGCAACTGGCTGCGTCCTAGGTGCTAATTAATTTCAGAAAGGCGAGTGAAACATTTGCAACTGCATGAAGCACACTTGTGGAACATTTGCAACTGCCCGTGGTCATTTCAGTTCCTATTTTGTGGAGATAATGCTGAAACTTTATTTACAAACTGAGAAAATATTTTACATGTACGGAGAAGTCTGGTAAAGTGTTAGAACTCAGATGAGACCTGGTTGATTGTATCACTGCTGACATCAGTTGGTTTAATAGGATCTTAGCAAGAATCTAGGGCAATGCACGCAATTCAGTTATTCTATTAGGCTTTATTCATTCATCGTTCCTTCCCTCTTTGTAAGGTTGATCAAGTTTATTCATTCATCGTTCCTTCCTTCTTTGTAAGGTTGATCAAGTTTACCACCTTGGGGAAATCAGTAACACTAAGGAGAGACCAGAAATTGAGTTTCTTCCGAATTGTAATGCAGGTAAAACATTAGGAAAATCAGTATCAGATGATTAACTAAATTATTTGAATGAAAAGACTTTTTTTAATGGAATCAACAATTAGCCCTAGCTGATTAACTGATAGAGAGACTGAATTATTTAAGCCTTATACAATGCTCTTCTGGTGAATCAAAAGGTCTTTTGGAAAGTGGCACTATGTCTGTTGACCATCTTCCTGGCATCAGCGATATGGAGCTTGAGTCAGATTTCACTATTAGGACTATTCCTCTACAGATTGAGGTTCAAACAAGATGCCCCTTTTAATGTTTTGCCATTATTCACTGTGCTCTCTTTTCATTCATTCAGCATTCCCATGCTTGATTTCCAGCTGATTCTGCTTGTGCACCTTACCCTCTTAGGATGAAGGCCTTCATTCAGGAATGCAATGTAGTCCAGGTCCAGCAGTACATGAAGATATAGTCTGCAATAGTTTTTCTATTTCACCAGCTATCTCTGGCTCTTCAAGTACACGAAGTAAATCAATGAAGGTAATTAAAAAATTCTTGATTGTATTATATTATATTGTATTTTGTGCAATGTGCCATCTTTTAGTGGATAATACAATGTATCTTATGCTGCTCAAATACAACAGGCTCGTAGGAGCTTTTGTGAAAATCGTGATACTTTAGGTCTTCCAGGAACTATTTCAGATGGCCGTATTCGAGTGGAGTATCTGCGTTTTGAGGTTAAAAATTCTTCCACTTATGCTATCTTTTGTCGTCTTTGTGTTTACATGTTGTATTACCGCTTGTCCCAACCTGCAACATTATTTTCGTATCAGTTTGCTTGCTTTTGCCATCTAATTCTTCAAATTCCTCTGATTTGTCATCATCTTTCACAGGTTAGCCATCATACAGGTCGAATCCACTTGTACATTTGTGTTCCAGGACATGATTCAAGACCCAGACCACTTTTTCAGAATTTTCTTCCTGAAGAAGTAGAATCACCTTTATGCTCTAGTAGTGACAAGAAAGCAAGTAGGCAGCTCTTGAGTAATCCAGCATTTTGCAATATGTTCAAGGCATTTGTAAAAGAATGGTTAGAACTAAGACCAATTGATCAGAGGAAACTCCTGGGAAAGCCGTTACAGCTTCCATTGAGCCTTGAGTTGTGCTATTTGACAAATAGCATCAGCCACAGTACACAAGTATGCACGTCTTGACTTTGACACTCTTTTTTTTTGCAAACTCGATTTGTTCCAGTTACGAAGATTGCAAATACTGTACAAAACAATGCCTGGTGTGCACGAGGTTACGACTATACATCTATGTCATGCAAACTTCTTATGTCCTAGAAAAGTATCCCAATATCTGCTTAAGTTTGTATAAGAATAAGTCTGGATTTTCCATTTGCATTCCAGTCTTACCTGAATTAATACTTATGCTACATACATGAGACATGATCTTGGGCCAAACTAAGAACAGATGACATTTATCATAGAATAAATACTTGGCTTGTTCCTTGATTTGATGGTGTCCTTATGTCTGTTGTGATCGACTTTCTTAGGGATTGATTAAAGGGGGGAGTAAGAGGCGTATAGCTCCATTGAGTGTTGTCAGTGATGATTTGCCTGAAAATGCTGAATGGAGAAAGGTGGTTTTACGCCGTGGCACGACTAAAGAGAGAGAATACACTCAAGGCTGGACTACTGATGATGAGCCTCTCTGCAAATTATGTCAAAAACTTTGCAAGTAATATGACTCGCTGATGTACTTGTTCTGGAGCCAATCGTGTTCTGTCATAACAATGCTCTTTGTTTTTGTTCAGTGGGAATCTTGCGAAATCACCCGAATATTTTGAAGATCTATTCTGTAAGCTTGATTGCTTCCGGTTGTACAGATTGAGAACCAACCAGAGTGCCCTGCGGCAGGTATGACTTACTTTTACCTTCTGCCATTAACATAGCCCTGATGTGCAAATAAGGCTAATTTGCCATTTGTACAAACAAAAATTGTGAATTGTATGTAATGGAGTTTCTGCTTGTTAAATACCTTTACTTTACAGGCACTGTTTCAAATAGAACATGGTATATGTTCCCAGTGCAAGCTTGACTGCTGCAAGCTCGTCAAACATATTAAACCCCTCAGCAACCCAAAGAGAGAAGCACACATCAGGAGTGTTGCTCCAAATATTGCATGTAGGAAGAAACTGTAAGTGCTACAACACTCTGATATTATGCATTTCCAACCTTTTGGCAGCTTTTATATGCTTCACTTTTGCATACCCAGCACAGTTTAGCAGAGCACTCTGGTCTGAACAGCTGTAATACACTAACAGAACTCACCAAATATTGACAAAAATGGGAATTTCCATCATTATTAATTTGTCGGTTTCATGTGGATTGTCTTATTAATGCTGTACTGGACCACAGGCTAGCAAAGCTTGTCGAAGAGCCAACACAGGGAAATGCTTGGCATGCAGATCATATAGTACCTGTGTATAAAGGAGGAGGTACAGTACATGTACAGTTTCTATGTTGTTGGCTCATCACTGCATCTCCTAATTCATCTGGTTTCTGGTAGGGGAATGCACGCTCGAGAATATGAGGACGCTTTGCGTGGCTTGTCATGCTGAGGTTACCAAAGCTCAGCAAAAGGAGCGAAAAGAAGCAAGAAAAGAAGAAAGAAGGAAGGCTGAAGAGCTTCTGAGAAATGCCGTGAATCAGCTGAAGGATGATGTTAGTAGTTCCTCTGCAGTTCAAGTATCTTCTGGCCTTTCAATTTTTGCAAGATTTAAGCTCTCTGGATAACCACCTGACTTTTCTGCGTTGCATGTTAAAAAGAAGTGATTTTCTCCTATATTTACTTCTGCAATTTCCAACATTCCATTTCATAGAGGCATGACTGACACCAATCGATTCTTCCGCAAATGACACATTCAGAAGTCAGTTGATTAAGTTGTAAATAAGTTTGATTTTTGTAGAGTTCTTCCATAACTTTGTGACATGCACAGCTCAAGTTCACCTATAATACTCTTGATGTTGACATTCAATTTTATTTTGGTTGTAGGCATGTGAAGCGACAGAAGACGACGATTCTTGGTTGGTTACAGTCCCTGGCAGTGCCTACTCAGCAGTACCTCAGGCTCCTCGTACGCCCAGAAAATAAGCTGTTATGGCACTAGTACACCTGGGACAGTTATTTTGTGGTTTTATTGGACAGATGTTTTGTGCATATGTGTTGAATGCGATACTCATGTAGAAGTATGTATTTTCTTTTAGTAGCAAAATCTGATACCATCTTCAGTCAACCTGTTGTTGTCAACTGAGGAAGGTTGGTGGAATCATGCAACCCAATTGCAACCAACTTGTTGTCAACTACTGTTGCAAAACTCTTACATATACTTGGAGGCAATATTGTGGTATGCTGCTGCTGCTGTAAGATTTGTTTCAATTCATTTCAAGAATCTGGACACCGCCATCCAGTTACAGGATGTGCTGAGGCTAAATGTGGATGGCAAAGGTCATAGAGACACGTTAATGACATTTGTAACATGTACTTTCGGTGCTAGTATTTGCTAACTGAGCCCGTTTGGCTTTGGCCACCAGAATAGTAGTTTTAAAAGGCAGCACCCGAAACACATCCTACTAGAAGCTAAGATTACAGGTGGAGCCAAGTGAAATATTTTCAGTACATCGCAATTTTAAGAGACGATGCACCCTGAAAATGCATGTAGCCCTTGGACCGTCAGTGGTCTCAACCCCGTGCAGCATAGGTGAACAAATGTTGCAACAGCAACCACTCCTTAGCGAGCACAGGGAAGAACCAAGTGCCAGCTGCTTTCAGTGTCCCTAGGCAGTCCTACACACCAGCACCCCCGTGGCTTTCCTCATGCTTAGCTTTAGCCAGCCCACGTCCCTGTCTTTGCGGCGCGGAGAACCTGCAAATAAAAAAGATTCTTAGTCAATCATGCATTGCTCGCTGTGCACACCATTTCTCCATGACAGCACAGCAACACATGCAAGGGTCATGTAGATAGATAACAAATCACTACACTTGTGCATTTCTCAAACTAGGATAAGCCGTTTATTTTAGCATACCTGCTGCGCCAGGCACATCCACAACCATGTCCTTGGGGCCAACGGAACCTGCCAATTTAAGAGATTCTTAGCGTAGCAAGTAGTAGTATTACACACCATTTCGACATGGCAGTAACACATGCAGGTTTCCTCATACCTGCTGTTACGTCAGCTGGGGGAGGGGCCCTTGATGCAGTGCACGACTTGGCCATGTCCAGCAGGAGCCCTCTGGTGAATCCTGAATACTTGAGCTCAGGCTGGTCAAGAACCATTTTGAGACATGGCAGTTTGCCCCTCGACCTCGAGGGTGTAACGATTGTCCTGAGCACCTCACAGCATGAGCCTGTCACTGTCACTGGCTCGCCATCGCATTGTTCCTGGACTAGCAATGCAATCAAGACTGCATCGCAGTCGGTGCTTCCATTCCCAGCATCAGGTAATGCCAAGGTCATAAGGAGGAAGAAAAGCCAAACTGCCAGTCTGCAGGGTAATCGGTTGTGATGTCAATAGTTAAGGAGAAAGATTTCTGATGGGTGTTTCTATTTACTTTTGAGAAAATCGTTACTCCACGATACCTATATGTTCAAAATCCCCAAAACGGAAGCATATACCCAAATTACCTAGTTGAAACTCAAATGACATCCTTTTTTTCTAAAATACGAAACTCAAAAATCATTCACAACAGGCATCATGAATCCGACGAGCCACTCACCTACTCCTTCATAATTACTATTTCTAAATCTCTAAGCGGCGCATGATTAGCACGATCAAGGATTGTCACTTACTGTGTACTTTCTTCTCCACTCCACCGCGGGTGCTTGTCCTAGAATTCAACTTTTTTGTTCGTCAGATTAAAAAAATGTTCACCAAAATTCAAAAAAAAAATCACTGACCTAAAAAAATGTTCATTAAATTCAAATTTTGTACATCATTTTCAAAAAAATGTTCATCAAATTCAACTTTTTTGTTAATTGGATTTAAAAAATGTTCAGCAAAATTCAAAAATTGTTCACTGCTTAAAGAAAATGTACACTAAATTCAATTTGTGTTCATCATTTTCAAAAAATGTTCATCGAATTCAACTCTTTTGTTCATCTGATTTAAAAAATGTTCACCAAAATGCACACCCCCCGTGCACACGACCTCCAGACTATAGCTGGCCAAATGGGCCGGTTTTTTCGGGCCGGCCCGTGAGCACACCGGCACGGCCCGCCTTGGGCCAGGCACGGCACGGGCTAAACAGGCCGGGCCAGGCACGCGGCATGCCCTGGGCCGTGCCTGGGCCTGGAGGCTGGGCACGCGGGCCGGCACGGCACGGCCCGATTACGTTTTTTATTTTTTTATACATATATATGGCCCAACATGTAAAAATAGGCTAAAAACGCTCAGTGCGTCAAATAACAGGCTAAAATTATGCAGCCCACCGTGCTAAACGGGCCAACGTGCCGGCCCGTTTACTAACTGGGCCGTGCCTGGGCTGCAGGCTGCAGCACGCGGGCCGGCACGGCACGGCCCGTATAATAATCGTGCCTTGGCGGGCCGGGCCGTGCCAGGCACG